GAAAGCAATTTCGGTTTCCACCCCCGCCAAATCGTTTGAACAAAGAGCGGGAAGCCATCGTCGCCAGCTCTTGACGGAAAGCTAAATTTGTCGACCATGAGACGTTGCTTCTTGTCGACATCAAAGGGAAACGGTCAGCCCCCTTCCATGTCTGATCATTAACAGATGCCACAGACACAGTCCGTCGTTTGCCCGTCGAAACGGCACGCGCTGCTTTTCTTTCAACGTCCCGAGACATCAATTCGATTGAAACTCAAGCAACTCGCATGACACAACCACTTGTGCCAGCTGGCCCAGCTTCCGCCTCTCGCCGATATCATGCCACCTCATGAGCTGGCTCGTTTCTTCTTCGTGCCCAAAGAGTGCAAAAGGAACAATACGGCCTTGTATTCATCTCCTCTCTAGCCCGCCTCGCCTCCGCCCGCCGCTACTCTCATGTCTGGAGAAAAAGAAACAACGCAGCCCATCAGATGCCACAATGCCGACGGCCTCTTTTCGCCCGTAGACGTCCTAGATTGCGTCAGGTCAGTTTTTGCAATATCCGTACATATGCGATTCAGAGTTGGACAGCCCAGCAAACGGGTCGCGCATATTGCGATCATGCTGCTTGCTCAAAGTACCCAGCATCTCAACACACACAGTGCAACCGTCACATCGTCTTGCACTCTGCGACGTCCCATCGTGCTCCTGAGATATGCTCCTGCAGTTTTGGACGAAGCATAAGCATCTCGGTTGGCACGCTGTCCCTCGTCTACCCGTTCCGCGGCCTCAATCAGGAAAACTGAGCCTACTGATCCCAGACTTCGGGACTCAATTCTCAATAAGCCTAACTTCTAAGTCTGCGAATGCCAGTCTTGTCAGGAACAGCCCCGCCGTCCTGCATCTGTCCAAGAGACTTGCCGGAGCAACGAAACGAAACGAGCGGACACAGCCGGTTTGCTGCGCATTCCGGACGGGGACTCGGTCCTCAGACCTCTTCATCAACGCTGAACATCGGTTGAAAGCCAAGACCAAAGCAAGGATGACATCTCCCGAGATTGTCGCATCCGAGGCGACGGTGACCCAATTCCCAGAGCTGTCGCTCCACTTTCCGCCGTCGCCGGCCGATAGCACGCCGTGCACACGCCGCGCTCACCCAGACTTTGGTGATGCCAGGCATTCATGGGACGGAACTTACCAAGCATCAGAGTGCCATCAGAGTATCCGCGTCCGAGCACGTTCCCAGCTTTGCGGAGATCGCCAAAACATCACCAGGCTGCGCATCAATATTATTTCCGTCTGCTGTCAGATTCTCAACCTGCAGCGTCGTTCTGTCGCACAGACTGAAAACGCTCTGAGCAACGCCGATGCACTCGTCAATCTGGCTCTCCAACGGGTATCCGTACGTCGTTGGCGAACAGGCGGTGGCAAGCCCTGGGCAACAACTCAGCACTGCACTCTTCCATGCTCGAGCTGACGCAAGCTGCCAGACAACACAGCACACAGATGCCTGAAGCCTTGAGAATCAAACGGCTCAGCCAGTCACATTGCCGTGCGATGAGGTTCTGAGACTCCCCATCGCTAGACTCCCCACCAGCGAGGGCCACAGCAATCAATCTGTTGGCGTAGTGTCCTCGCCCCAGAAATCTCCACTCCAGTCGAATGGAATGATCTGGCGGGGCTAAAGAGGCGACCGGTCGGACCCCCAGACCCTCCAGAACCTCGTTTGTCATTAAACTTTGGGTCGTTGACCACCAAACGTCCCGTCAGCGAGATGACGATATACTGCCTCCGCCTCAATACACGGAGCTGCTCTGACGCGAAATCCACGTCTCCTTCAGGCATGGCTTGCTGTGCTCGCTCTGCGGCTTTCCCGCCAACGCCGGGCTGTCTTGGGCCGAAGACTTAGGTTGCGCCAGCTCTCTTTCGGGTCGGCGAGGGGGCGCACAAGCCGTCTTGCTATTCGGCGATCCATCCCATGTGTGCGCCTCTGCCAACGACGGTGCCTGGTGTTTTTACATCGGGGGCGCACGTCTACGTGGCCCAAGTGCCAGCCAGCTTCCGCGAGTCGATAGCTCATAGAGCTGTCGTTCTGCTGCCGCCGCCGGTGGGACAGCAGGCGCCTCTCTGCATTTTCTCATTCGAGCGCCCGGGCGGCACACGGCGGGAGGAGGGCATTGAGGCTTGATCTCATACAGGGGCTTGATCAGCTCTTTTAGAACGAATCCCTCATGTAGACCGAGCAGTCGCTTCATCTTCAGGTTCAAGGCTCCGGCTGACACACTCTAGAGTCCCTGAACCGCGCCGTCGGCTTTGTGTACCTCGTCTGATGATCAAGAGAACTTGGTTCCGTCTTCTGGTCTGAAGATAGTCGGCTTCCCACGTTCCTGTCCTCATGGCATATCGCGCTCGCTTGATGATGACGACGAGGTTGGCGCCGCCATTGCTTTTTCCAGCAGATCCTGTCCTTCCGTCAGGTCTTCGTCGCACGCCGCGGATGTTAAATCATTGGGATGTGATAGGGCTGGCTGTGGGACCTCAAAGTCTGGAACTGGGCGCTTTCATCTGGCCAACTGGATTGCAAAGACTTCCTGCTTGTTTGCGACAGACTCTCCTAGCGGCTCCGGAGCATGCGCCGCGGTGATAAACGACGGGATGCAGACTCAGATCCCAGCCCGATGGAGAGCAGTGTCTCAACGCGATCAGCATCCATTGGTCCGTGTCCAAGGAAATATTTTCGACGGCTCTTCATGTAGATCGGCAATTGGCAAGAGCAACATGCCGCAGCATCGCCGAGAAAACAGGGCATGAAAGCCACCAAAGCCATGCTGCCATGCACCCTCGGACGACGACGTATGGTGGCAGAAATACGACGCCGAATGATGTTTGCTCCGGCATAAGGGTGTTGGCAAACACGCACCCTGGCCATATATTCGGTCAATTCATGTCGTCGACGCACATTTCAAGCAAACAAACAGTCAAGCCATGCCAAAGCATGCGTCTCGGTCAAGGAACGTCTGGCAGGCAGACAACCGCGGCTCATCCTACCTGATTGTTCCCTCGGAATGGCGTTGCTTCCCGTAAATGGTGCAAACGTCGGAATGCCGGACCCATTGCAAACGCTGGTAGTGTTTGTCTTGAGCGGCGTGGACTCTCCGCAATCGTGCCCATCTGCAAGAGAATTGCTTGGGACAGGAAGTCCAAGACCATCATACTGTCCCCAGCAGCAACCTGTGCCGCATTCCTGAGGTCACCATCCGGCCCGAGGTGAGGGATGTCCTTGGGAGCCAGAACACACAAAGCAGACTACAGACAAAGAGGTTCCGCGACAACGGTACCGGCTTGTTCCCGCCTTCGCGAATCGATATTTTCCCCTGACAAGCTTGATGAAGTATTGATGCAGAAGTGTCCTTTGTTTAACCCAAGCTACGCCTGCCCCCTCGTCGAAACATACTCGTTCTCACAACGAAGACGGGGCTTCTCTGACCTTCATCTCGGCCATATTCCACCCTCGTGTGCCCCCACCCAATCGCTTGGTGCATTAGAGAGAAATACTGCTCTCACTGGGTTGACAGACAACCGTCAAAGCTGAGGCCAACGCGGGGGGCAGTGGAGTATGCGAGATCACTTGCGTCTTCTCAGCTTCATCTGTCAAACTAGGAATCAATAGTGCCGTCTTTTCCAGCGCTATGGGCCGCTTGAGCAACATCAACATCCACAGTATCCCTCACCATTGGCCGTCGGGACTCACACTTCAGACTCTCTTCCGTCGAGCCGTCTTCACGCTGTGCTCTCTTGGACCGAAAATCACTGCCTGTTTTTGCTCTTGGAACGGACAGGTACCTCGCCCGGCTTCCCAAATATCGTGACACAAACCGCTACCTTGGCCAATGTAACCTTTTTGAAGAGAATATGGGTGTCCGATTATGTTCCGGCCCCCAGCCGTGCGCGACCATGCCCTCAGACATGCACGATTAACCCACACTTTGCATTGGCGGACCTCACTTGTCAACGGTGAGGCCTCGGGCACGTTTGTTTGAGGCTCCCAACCCGTCTTCGCCCTTTGCCCGATCTATCCCTATCCTCCGGATCTGTCTCTTGTCTCGAACCTCCGGCTGGTGCGTGCGCCGTTGACAGTTGGGCCCTCCAATTTACACATTCGACAAGCGCCAAGAGCAAACTGCGTCGTTGGCCCGATCTTTGTGGGCGGCGGCCAAGTCAGCCACGAGCAAACAAGCGTTCCTTTCTGGATTCCTGCATCAAACATCATCACTCGGTGTGACAAAGATTTGCGAAGCGAAGGTGATGATTTACCTTGCATATACTAGGTTTAAGTGGCATGCAATAGCAGTGTGGCGGTACGCCTTGCCTGTTCTAATCCGTTTCTCTGCCGTCTGGAAGAGCAGCGGTTGCATTCGGAATGCACGACCAACTTTACGATTTACCAAAAGCCAACACACATAGACAATAAACTCGCCATGTCACAGCGTATGCATCACGCTAACCTCGCAGCCGCAGCGAGAGCGCGGTGCACGGCACGTCGTCGATTTTGGCTCGCCAGCATCCAGCTGCCCTGAAACGAGAGCATCCTTGGTTCCGTTGCCGTGTGTGTATGTGGCGGCGGTGGAACCGCGCCGGTGAAAACGAGCGAGCCTGCGGGCTGGCTTCCTGCAGCTTTTACTGGATTCAGAGAGGGAGGCGTAGCAGGATCACTGCCTTCTGCGTGGTACGAATGTTTGTTCTAGATGTTCTGCGTTTGTTCCTGCGCATGCGCTTCGGCTGCGTGCTTTTTCTATGGGTATCATTGTCATAACTCACTCTCCGCGGGAAGTATCCCTCGTCTGCGCGTCCAATGGTCGAAGGAGCTCATGGTAGGGGGGAAGTCCAGCGGTTCTGGCCAAGATCTTGACTTGGCTGTCGGGGGATTCTTACCTGTACATCGCCGGCACCGCACCGACAGTGATCCACTGACCGGGACGACATCCCGTATGCGAGCCCCGGTGTCACGGCCGAGCCGGACCTCACTCCTGATGCCACGCCGTGCTATCCGTCTCCACGACCTCCTGCTGGACCTCATCCCCCGTTGACTCCTCTGCAACAACGTCGGGTCCACGCTTACCTTGCTGCCCCTCGTTACCTGTCTCATCCTCCATCTTCCCAACCCCATTCCCGTTCGAATTCGAATTCTCCACGGCCCGTCGAATCATCGCGCTAAGAAGGGTAAGCCTATCGCTGACAAGGTCACCGCCGCTCGGGGGAAGAGCGTCGCGGACGGGGAGGAGGCGCTCGAGTACCTGCTGCTGCCAGTCGCGCCGGCGGCACGGGAGGCACTTCCCCGGCCGGCGGAGGACGCCCTGGGCGTCGATGGCCGGGCAGACGGTGCCGGCGCCGGGGGTGGTTGTGGAGCGGGGGCAGAGCCAGGTGATGTGGTGGCCGGAGAAGCAGCCGCAGGCTGTGTAGTAGATGTTTTCGGCGGTGCACATCGCATCTGGGCCGGCCGAGGGGTTTGTGTGGTGGTTTCTTGGTGATTTCTTGGTGCTGGGGTGTTAGTTGGCGTCTACTTAGAGGGCGGTGATGTTGTGGTCTCATCTTGGGCTTCTTCTATAGAGGATGATGAGATTGAGAGTTGTTGGCGAAGACTGCGTTTCATTGTGTTGAGCGCTTTGTGTGGGATCACAATGGCTCTGTGTTGAAGCGTGGGTGACATCGTCATTGTTTGAGAAGAAGTTTTGCCGTCAAAGGGAACGATAGAGAAGATGGATGTATGAATGAGTCCTGTGTATGATGGGGAGGTCGCAATTTTCACTGTGATATGTGATGTGCCTCTTCATCCAGTCAACATGCGATTGAGAGTGTAATGCCTCGACAACATCTCGAGACTTCAAGCAAGACCATGAGGGTGTAACAGCCCGGGTCGTGCCACGAACTTGTGCATTGTTCAGTGAACAATGGCCATGTGCATATAACGGCTGTATTGGGCTTCAATAATCGGATCAACAAGGCTGAACAAGCCATTGTTACGGATGACTGAAAAACACGGCCTCTTGGATGCCTTTGGCAAGGGGGTGCTCTGATTTACTTCGTCTCGTTCCATCCAGCATCCAAGTCACGAGAGTCTCAAGGTTGACATGAATCACCACCATCACAAGCGACGAACCATCTTGCATTAGTCGCTACTCCCAGGGCAACACGTTTCCAAAGTCTAGAAAAGTCATGTTCTACTCTAACCCGAGCCTCATTTCTATCATGATTATCCCCTTGATCTAGTCCACCAACCGCGCAAGGTGAACCCCGTCATAGAGCGGCATCAGCCAGCTGTCCAGCCTCTCGTCCTCCCTCACCATGCGGTTGAACTCGCGCAGCTTCTCCACGTCCTCGCTCTTCCAGTACGCCGCCCGCTCCCCCTTCTCGCGCTGCACCCACGGGTTGCCGTCCGAGTCGTCCGCGACGATGCCGCGGCGCAGCACGTTGTCCGCGACGATCAGGCCGCCCGCGCGCAGCAGGCGCTTGCCCCCGGAGGCGGGCGAGGCGGAGAGGATCGTGGAGAGGTACGAAGGGTAGCCTGACTTTTGGGCGTCGATGAAGATTAGGTCGTAGGGCTCGTCGGGCTGGAGGGTCGGCAGGCTAAAGTCGACGTTGCGTTTAGTAACAGGGAAGAGTGGGAGAGAAAGGAAAGAAATGGGAAGGATGGCCGTACGTCTGGAGGGCGTCGCCGACAATGACGGATGCGTTCTTGATGCCGTTGGCGGCCCAGGCTTCCTGGGCTTGCTTTGCGTAGTTTGCGTCGAACTCGAGGCCCGTTACTGTGCCGTTGGGGCCGACGGCGTGGGACCAGACCATGCCGGAGTAGCCGACGTATACGCCGATTTCCAGGACTGAGACTTGTTAGTTGGTGTTTATTATTCATGAGAGTTGAAGAAGAGCATCCTTCTCCAGCGAGAATTGTATGAAAATGAGAACGCGATGGACTTTCGCCATTCAAGTTACCCTCCCGATGACGAAAATCAAGCAATATCAACCACAGAGACCAAGAGATCAGACCAACAAGACACGTTCACGAAGGAGCGTCTCACTACTCTCACTACCCTGTCGCGAACGAAGTTGACAAAACTCACCTCGCTTTGCCCCAATCAACTTGGCGAGCCAGATATGGTTCTGCGCTTGAAAGTTGCTGATCATGAGCATCGACGTCTCGGGCTGCGTGGTGTCGATGTGGTCATGGTACGCAACAATGTGTGCCGGTAGCGGCGTCGAGCTGCTCTCCGAGTACGCCGTCACATTGCGCGAGACCTGCTCGTTGGGGTACAGGACCGAGACGGAGGACTTCATCTTGATGCGTGCTCGCGGACAATACCGTTTCTTCTTTGGACAAAGAGATTGAGGCTATGTAAGTGTGAGTGGTCATCCCAAAACGAGAGTGAGTATCTTGACCCGGCGCGTAGACAACTCACTTGGTGTGCCGGGTATGCGATTACCCGAGTAAGGCAGCAGAGACAGCTGGACAGACAGATGGATGGACGTTGGCGAGCGCGAGAGATGAAGAAATGCCAACGGTAGCCAAGATGATGATGATTTATATGTGATTCCTCACCACCTGACTAAAACCACACACATCACATTCAACGTCAGAAACGCCGTCGACATGGGTATCCGTTGTCCCTCACCTCAACCCGCCCACCTCCCCGCTCGGCGCGAGGTGCCGGTTCGGCGGGCGGGCACGCGACGTCGCTCATTGCCCCTCCCCCTGCCCCGCCTGCTTTCCCAGTTGCGCAATCACCCCGCCAAAACCTCTCACCTCTGCTTCCCACAACCAATCCACACCTTTGCCGTGATCTTTTCCCGAGCGCAGGACGGGATGCGCAGAGAACGAATCTAAACCGCAGACTAGCTGGTATGCCCTGTACCAATTGACGCACCAGATCTGCCCTGCCTCGGCCGACGATCGGCTCGGGGATTAGATGCTGCTGCTTCTGACTGCAGATAGGGCGCGCGTGTATGGATGGAACGGCGTTTTCGGGAGTTCTTCATGACCTCCTATCCCGCCGTGATCTCGAGACCACGCAAAAGATCGTGAGATCCGGTCTGATAATCAACGGGACTGCAGGCCAGAAAAGCTTCGTCTGCTCTCGCGTGATTCTGACAGCGCCTTGCGCGCGGGAGCTTATCTTGCAGACGGGTCCCGATTCTGCGTCACACACACTCGCGCACATACATGACTGGCATGTACACGCTACTTGCACCTACGTCGCATGCATTCGACAGCACGGGTACATGTATCAAGGTTCGGAACACCGAAGATGAGACGGATGTTCCGCTGCTTGGTCTCTGCGCGGGCAGCCAGGTTTTTGGAGGGACGAAACTGTTAGACTTGCCGTTTCGGGAAGGAGGGGCAATTGCGAAGTTGTGTTATTCGAAACGGGCAAAAATCTACGGATACGGCTTGGACTTATACACTTATTTGCTGACAAAACTGTTCACTGCTGCAACATCAGCTCTGTCTCTTTAATGGCTTGTCGTACGATAAAGACAGAAGTCAAGTGATCCATAAGGTTTGCTGAAAATTCAAAGTGTATTACCGCGAATCTACCTAGTTCCTCGTTCCATTACATACTCTATCCTATTCCCTTTTCTCCTTCCCAAATTAGATTCCACCGCAAAACACATTCTCCTTTTCTTTTGTATTATATTATCAACCGGGTGCGTACAGGTGTTCAATACCCCTTTTAAGATCCCAATGCCAGCAGCAAGAAGCTGAAGAAGATCGAGCGGCCTTTTTCAAGACCACTGAAACATTCCTTCCCTTCCTCCCATCGCCAACGGGGATCCACTACTTCCAAAAGCTATGATAGCGCCTAGAAGAAGGCGAAGGCCATGGCGATGATGGCAACCAGGGTGAAGGGAGCCTGGAGGCTGGAGCTGCCTGCGGTGGCGACCTTGCTGGGCTGGGCCGGGGGCTGGGCGGGGGGTTGAGCAGGCGGCTGAGCGGGGGGTTGAGCAGGAGGCTGCGAGGGAGGCTGCGACTGCGAGGGAGGCTGGGCAGGCGGTTGGGCAGGCGGCTGGGCAGGAGGTTGCGAAGGAGGTTGAGCGGGCGGCTGAGAAGGAGGTTGAGCGGGAGGCTGAGCGGGCGGCTGGGAAGGAGGTTGAGCAGGAGGTTGAGCAGGAGGCTGGGCCGGCGGCTGGGCCGGGGGTTGCGCGGGAGGTTGAGCCGGGGCGGTAGGCGGGCTGACCGGGACGGTGGTGTTGGTGTACTTCTGCTTGCTGGGGCTGGTGGTCGCCGGGGGAGCGGGAGTGCCCTGCTGCGAGGAGACGATGACAACCGGAGGCGGCAGGACGACGACCGGAGTGGTGGAGTGGTGCTTCCTGGCGGACGTGGTGACGGGCGGCGGCGGGATGTTGCTGTAGTAGGTCACCGTGGTGCAGGGCTTGGTGCCGTTCGCGGGGATGGTCGAGGTGATTTTCGTGTAGTGGATAACCTTCTTGGACGAGGGGCAAGGGGTGGTCTTGGGCTTCATCGACGTAGTCTTGTGCTTGGAGGTGGTGCAGGGAGTCGTCGTCTTATGCTTGGAAGTGGTACACGGGGTAGTCTTGGGCTTAGATGTAGTGCAAGGAGTGGTGGTCTTGTGCTTAGACGTGGTGCAGGGAGTCGTCTTCGGCTTGGAAGTAGTGCATGGAGTGGTAGTCTTAGGCTTAGACGTAGTGCAAGGAGTAGTAGTCTTAGGCTTGGACGTAGTGCAAGGAGTTGTCTTCGGCTTCGACGTAGTGCAAGGAGTAGTCTTTGGCTTGGAAGTGGTGCACGGAGTAGTCTTGGGCTTCGACGTGGTGCAGGGCGTCGTGGAGCGCTTGAGGGTGGTGCAGGGCGTCGTAGTGGGCTTCTTCGACGTAGTGCAAGGAGTAGTCTTCGGCTTAGACGTGGTGCACGGGGTTGTGGTCCGGCGGCGGGTGGTGGAAGTGGTGCAGGGCTCTGTCACCTTGCGGGTGATGGTGAAGTGGCCCCTCGTAATGACCTCAGTCCTGGTCTTGGTGATGGGGTTGACGATGATGTCGGTCTTGGTGGTTGTGACCGACTTCGGAGGAAGGACGACGACCGGAGGTGTGTCGACCGGAGGAGCGGGGAAGTCGTGCTTGGGCGGGCTCCAGGGAGCCGGAGGAGCGGGGAAGTCATGCGTGGGCGGGCGCCAAGGAGCCGGGCCGGGGTTCGGAACGGGCATCTGGGCCCCGGCAAGCCCGGAGAGGACTGCCACAGCAGCAGCAACGGTCACCTTCATTTTCGAGAAGGGGGGCTAAGGAACTAGAAGAAAACGATTGTAAGTTGGTAACGATTGACTGAGTGAAAGGGTTCCCGCCTTCCCGTAATGTGAGCGAACGACTGATGGATGAGGAGAGAAGAGAGAAGAGAAAACCCTTGAATCTCCTTCAACCATCTTATACGGGGGCTCACAGGGCAGATCGTCGGCTTGATGGTGTGCTGGCCTTGATGGCCAGTCGGTCAACTTGTTGAGAACGTGCAAGCCATTGCAGCCAACTCGAGTTGAGATGGGTTGAGACGCGCCGAGTCGGGTTGGCGTATTGAAGTTTATGCAATGAGCTCCTGATATCCTAACCATGTCCGTCGGAGAGGCGGCTTTTCGAAGTTTATGGCTGCAGGTAAAACTTTTCTCATGACATTAAGAACCTCTTTGGCGGTCGTGGCTGGAGTAAAATCTCGGCGACGCTGCCAGAAGTTTTTTCATCACTCCATTGATCGGCGATGCTCCTTGGGCATTGGAGGCAATATTGCGACTTGTTGAATTTTTCACATGGGTCTCGATGAGCCTGTCTTCACCGATGGCGGACAATCCTGAATCTGTGCCTTAGTATTGATGAAAACGCTTGGGTACATATGGTGGAGCCTCTATGTTCGGTTCTTTGCTGAATCGTCCACCCCTCGCTTTTCGGATTGCGAAAGATCATAATTTGCAGACCAGGACGCCGTATGTCGTGTCGTCATTTCTGCAACACACAGAGTGGATGATCTCTGCAAGCCGTCTGGTAGTTCTGACTCGAAACAATAAAAGTGGTGATTCTGGCACCTCGACCCGTCTCTCGACGAAGTCGAAATACTCCGTGTCCAGTGCTCCCAAAGCTCCCGTGCTTCCGCGCTGTTCCTCGACACTCATCCGTGTGTGTTCTCCGTTTCGTTCTCCGACCATGCTTCGCTATGTATGCCATCTCTCGACTCCAATCTTTTTTTGATTCGCGCGACAAATACACAATCCAGCCCCTAAACGCCATGTTGCCATGCAGCTCAATCGTCGGATTCACCAGAAAAGAGACCGAATCTCATCCGGTGGCTCTGTGTCTGATGTCAGCTTAGGGTATCCTTGCGGAAACAGTGAGAGGATACGTACAAAAGGCAGCTTGGGGATGACGACTCCAAGGACGGCCAGGAAATTGATGATGAAGTAGGCCAAGTCATAATGGGTGTAGTGCGTGCTGAGGAGGAACAACATGATAGGCACGCTAAGAAGGAACTTCTTTGCGGGGGTGTACTGAGCGCCGTCGTCAATCTGCTCCCACATGTTGAGGTTGTCAAAGGCTCCGCCATTGAACTCGAATGGCACGCCACGGACGTAGTGGAACATGATGTACGATCCGAACATGTAGGAGATGTTGGTCAGGGTCCATGACGTCTCCTGGGACACGCCAGGCATGATGTCGTAGAAGATCTTTAGGCAGAGAATGAGGACGAAGTGGATGGTCCAGGCACCTGATTGTGGTGGTGTTGTCAGTTTTTTTTTGGTGTCTCATTGGGGAGGGGAGGCACGCGACAAGCACGAAAGGGGGGAAAAGCTTCCTGCGGAGCTCTGCGCGGGGTTCTCTCACCTTTGGCATTGACCCAGTTCGCATTCAAATTGGGCACGACGGCCTGGTCACTTATTTGCTCGAGAGTCTCGGGCGGCTCGTAGTGGACTTGAAGAATGCTGCTAGATCTTCTTCTGCGGGCACCGGTATCCGCCATTGTTCTGTACGATCCGCTGCCACGTCGCGGAGGATTGGTGGCCGCGTCGTACGAGACGGTGCGAGAAATGAGAATTGGGGAAGACAGTTTGGCGGTGTTGAAGGGGTGTCGGGAGAGATGGTCGGGTTATGTTCGAATAGAAAGGGCGAAGGAGATGGAAGCGGGTAGTTCGGGATCGTCGTTCTTGGTCCAGATGATGCTGGAAGCTGGGTCGGCGATGGTGTGTGATGGATGGGATCCAATTTGTTCTGGCAGCCAGCCCCCTTGATGATGTCACGGGGTTCGGCGAGCAATTCGCGACGGATGAGGCGCGGTATTCTCGATAGTGGTGATGATGCGAAAGAATTGATGGGAGCGAGAGACGAAGAAGCAGTCGTCGAGACTGTAGACGGTGGAAGGGAGCGTTGAGCTGTAAATGTTGGGGACGGTGTCGTCGTAATTGGCTACTTGGCAATGGGATGAAGGAGAATTAGATATTCATAGCAGCGGACGGGACCTCAGGCCTGATGGGGACGACTGGGACAGGAGAGGAGGAGGAGACTGGACCCCGACACGGACTCCAGCAAGTGTCCTCGCGGACGTGGAGGCACACAGGACACACACTGGACACACTGCCTGCAAGGGCAACCAGTGAGCACTTCCCAGCTTCGACCCACTCTGACCCCGGCAAGGCGAAGCAAGACACGACGAGATTGGTTCCGAGTGGACAAGGTGGGGCAGCAGCATCGACTAGCGAGCCACTGGCGAGCGAGCAGCTGCTGCCAGCCCGCCCGCCCAGCCGACACGAGGAGCGGGCAGGTGAGCGGAGCGCGGAGCCCCAGTCGCGAGACGGGTCAGGGTCGCCCATTCATTCAGGGGACCACCCCAATTTGCACGGTGCTTGCTGCGAGATTGGCAGTACAGTGTTGGCAGGCACTGGTGGGACTTCCATGTCACTGAAGAACCCCAGGCAGGGCAAGAAGCAGGCAAGAAGCAATCCGCGGCCTGCGATTTCTCAATCTGCCTTATCTTTTGGTCGAACTGGCCTGGCTTGCTGCCAACACTGAACAGAACATCCAGCCCAGCCCACCAAACAAAAAGAAACGAGTCGACTCCGATCGCATACAGACGACACTTTATCTTGCCTAATGGGACCCGTAAAGACGCGCCTAGCGTAGCACAGCACACGTCACCCACTCCTCCTCCCCTCAGAAGCAAGGCGAGGCAAAGCAAAGCAAAGACTCTGAGACCCGCGACCCGGGAAGGATCACTGACGACCCGAGGGATGCTGCAGCAGCCCAGCAACTCACACAGTCAGACGGACGGCCCAGACCCGAGCGAGCATTCGACGTACCACTGTCCCGCCGCAAGCTATCCGTACTGTTAGCTACCCTGCATGTGCATCTCGCTGCCGGACCGCCTGCCTGGCTGTGCAGCACCGGAAGGACGGAGCACTCTGCGGCATAGGGTTCGCCAATGCTATCTGCTAGCGGAGCCGGGGAGAAACCAGGAGAGGGGTTCCCCTGGCCAATATCTCCTGGGAACATGCCCCTATTTCCAGACATATGGCGACGAGAAGCCCAGACGGCTGAGGCGGCTGGCCGGACGGGAAACAAGCAGACTGGCTGGAAACTCAGAAGCGCACTGTCGACTTCGGTTGTAACCGTTGGGTCGAGACTGAGTCTGTCTGCTCCTGTGCTCCTGTACCAAGCACCAACAGCAACACACGGCATGAACATGCCACCACCACCTTTTTCCGTAGCAGGCTAAGCTAAATCCTAGGCCAAGGTAAGCTTAGAATCGTCAGAAAACACGCCGATACGGTTCACAAACTGAGGACATCCACGCCAATGTCATGCATCTCCCAACATCTGGGGGCCCTGGGATCTGGCCACGCTGGGCAGACGAGGCCACGGCCAGATGCAAAGGAATGGCACACCAAATTGCCTGGCGTTATTGTGGAAGCACTGTCCAGATGCCAGACTCACCTCGGTACTCCGTACTCTCGCCATCCAAGACATACGGTGTTGCTCGCCCTTCCCACCTTTTCCCCCTCTCGACCTGACGAAAGCTACTTCAGTAGCAGGCTATCTGAGCTAAATCTGTCTCTCGCCTTCTCCACTAATCGGGCTGTGCGATAAGTTATTGACTGTAGTGGTTCGTTGCGTTGCGTGGGATGAACGTTCAAGTCCTGGCGTTCCGGGATATCTCACCGAAGCCGAGGAGTGAATCTGCATCGCGGATGGAGTATCAAAAAGTCTGTTTCCCCATTCGTACCGAGCCCCGTTTGTCGTCTGCCGATATCTATCAAGCTGCCCGTGTTCATCTGCCGTCGTCACTCTTAGTCTGCAGAGATCAGCAACACTTTGGACGAGAAAGCCACGTCAAATCGCCCGTTGCGATACCGCGGGAATCCGTGGCGTGTCTTGCTCCAAGAGGATCAAGACAACGCGACACTTGCACGCAACTCGTGAGGCCACAAGCTGCCTGTCAGCTGTCAAGTCCTGCCACTCATCATCTTTTTCTCTTCGCATCCATCACCCTCAGTAGTCCGGGCCCTCAATCGCGCGCCATCTGCAGGGCTGCGCTCGGTTCAGGGACAGGAACAGGAACGGGAACCAGACCAGCAGGCGCGACCACTGACCAAAGATCGAGCCTCATCTCCGACCACAAGGGTTCTGGCTTTGCTAGTACCTGCTCCTACCAAACCGTGCGGGTTGCATGCTGCCGGGTTGTAATTAGATGGAAAGCGATAGGTCCAATAATGCCGATTCTAGAAGTCGACACTTTCGCTTCCGCATCCCGCCCAGTGGAAGCGAAACCGCCTCAGGTGCTCCCAATCCATGCACTGTCAAGTGCCTTAATTAGTGATGCCCCAGAACATGAATCGTCCTCGAGGGGCAGTTGGCACTGTGCAGAGGCCCGCACCTCGAAAAATCAATCCCAACGGTGTGGACGGCAGGCACGGTTCGACGATGCAGCGCTGCAGGAAGGGACCTGCTCTGCTCGGATTGTGTCGGCTATTCTTCGGCTGACAACCCCCGGTTGGTTTGTGACGTCGAACAAAACTGGATACCTGCATACAATTTTTTGACCCAGGGCGGCCAGCCAATTCATCGCGGACGCGATTGACGACGACATACACCCCGCGAGATCGACCATCTCTGCGTCACCAGGACGCCAAATTCTCTTCCAGGACACATAGACACTGGCTCTTGCGCATTTTGGATCTCAGAGATTGGGTTTGAGCCGGCCGTTTCGCGCCAACGCGTCTGCATTCTCTACGAT